ATCATTTGTTGTCTGGCCAGGATAAGATGAGAGTGGCTGATGGGGCTCTCTCCACCATCTCTGGAAAGGGGGTGGTTGACCTAAGCAAGGATCTCTCTCTTAAATCAGTCCTACATGTTCCTAGTCTTACCTCAAATCTGTTGTCTGTTTCAAAGCTTACAAAAAATTTGAATTGCAGTATAACTTTTTTTCCCTCTCATTGTGTTTTCCAAGACAGATTGATGAGGAGAACGATTGGGAGTGGTCATGAGTATGGGGGCCTCTACTATTTTGATGCAGACATCAGCTCAGCCCTACAAGCTTCTGCTACTGCTAGTTCGAAAAGTGTGGAGTCAATAACTAGGTTGCACCTGTGGCATGCTAGGCTAGGTCATGTGTCTTTCTCTTCTCTAGCAATATTGTTTCCCGAATTATGTGAGGGAATTCCAAGTCAAAGTTTAATTTGTGATGTGTGTCAAATGTCAAACGGTGTATCCAATTTCTAGTAATGAAATTCGAGCTCCTTTTGATTTAGTTCATTTTGATGTTTGGGGACCTTCACCCATTGTTTCCATTGATGGCTTCCGTTACTTTATCAGTTTTATTGACCATTATTCTCGGTGCACTTGGATTTATCTGTTAAAAGGACGTGATGAAGTTCCACGGATAACCATGATTTTTTGCAAGATGATTGAAACACAAATTGAGAAGAAGATTAAGCAATTCCGGTTGGACAATGCAACTGAATACTTTGAAAGATCCCTGAACTTATTCATGGAAGATGCAGGCATGTTACACCAATCATCATGTGCTTACACCCCTCAGCAAAATGGGGTTGCTGAGCGCAAGAACAGGCACCTATTGGAGACAGCTCGAGCCCTACTTTTCTAGCACAAAGTGCCCAAGCAATATTGGTCTCAAGCTATACTCACTGCATCATACCTGATAAATCGGATGCCATCTAAGGTATTGGGTATGGAGACTCCTTTCTCTGTTTTGTGTCCTACTCTTCCAGAATTTCCTTTTCCTCCACGGGTTTTTGGTTGTACATGCTTCATACATGTGAAGGATCCAAAGAAAACCAAGTTGGATCCCAAGGCTACGAAGGGAATATTTTTGGGGTACTCTCCTACACAAAAGGGGTATAAGTGTTATGATCCTGTCTCCAAGAAAAAATGTCACCAGAGATGTAGTTTTTTTGAGTCTCATCCCTATTTCCAGTCTTCTCAGAATCCTCTTCAAGGGGAGACTAGTGGGTTGGAAGAGGATTCTCATTCTCCCTTCTTTTTTGTTCCCCTTTCATCACCTTCCACTACTCCTAGCTGTGACATTCCGGATCAACCTAGTGAGGCTCCCACTGTGCCAGTTACTTCTCCTGATACAGCAGATGCTCCTGAAGGTTCCAGTAGGCAAGAGAAAGAGATACTTACATACAGCAGAAGGAAGAAGGGCCCTCAACCTCATGATTGCAACCAATTGAACTCAAATTAATCTGTCTCTGCAATCCAAGGTAATTCTGACTCACTCACTTCGGATTTGGATCTTCCTATTGCTCTCCGTAAGCCTGTTCGTTCTTGTACCACCCGACATCCCATAGCTGATTATGTTTCTTACTCACA